CTGACTCTGCTCATCCTGCAGGCAGCCCCTCTTCCTCCGGGAAGCTCACCCTGATACCAATGGGAGCTGGCATGCCACCTGTATCAATATCACCCTCCTTAAACTGTCTGGGCCCTCAACTGCCATGCCAGAAGACACTGTGGGAGTCCATTCCACATACAGGATAGCTATATCACAAGCATCAAAATGGGACAAGGGCGAGCAGGCAGCAGAACCACGGTTTGAACCCAGGGGGTGCACACTTACAATGGCCACTCTGCCCTGTCACACCTGTCCTAACAGCTGATATGCCAGCATCCTGTGCAGGAGTTGGTTCAAGTCCTGCCTGCTCCACTTCTGACCTACTTTCCTGCCGACGTGCTTGGGAAAGCAGCAGCAGATGGTCCAAGTCCCTGGGGCCCTGCACCCACACGGGAGACTGAGAAGCCCCAGTGAATGGGACCATCTGAGAGCAAGCCAGTCTCTCTGTCTCTTCCGTGTCTCTGTAGCTCTTTCAACTAAATAAATAATAAATAAGTAATTTTTTAAAAGGAAGGAAGTACCTAGTATCCCCCAAAATGCACCCTTCTCCCTGTGCTCTCCCAAAGCCTCATCCTGTGATAGCTCACGGATGCCCCAACATCTCCAGGGCACACCCCCAGCCCTCTCACGTGCTTCATCCGGGTTCCACGGTCTCTGCGACTAGGCCTGGGCCAGAATCTAGGGAGACGTGGCTGTGGGGCTGAGAAACGGACCTTTTCAGCTTGTGTTTTTATCCCGTTTTTACAGTTCAGCATTTTAGCCACAGCTGGGTAAGATGGTTGCCTCTCTCTGTTCAGACTCTGCAGGCTACCCCAGAGGTACTTGGGGTTGGGGGAATGAGCTAGGGGGCGTTGGGGCTGGTGAGCTCTGCGTTTAACAGCCAAGAGTCTCTATACCTACCGCTCATGGTCATAAAAGAATGGGCTTTTTTTTTTCTTCCAAGAAGGGCCCCTCAAAATGGCGTAAGCTTCAGATCCCACAAAACCTAGATTTGTGCGAGGCAGTAAAGCAAGAACTCTGCTTGTGCAGGAAACAGAGCAACTCAGGAGGGACCCTCTACCTTGCAGAGCCTTGAGCTGGGAGAGGCGACCTCGGGGCGGGGTTGGGGGAGGTGCCAGCAGGAGGGCAGAACATGATGATGGGGTGGGCAGCAGTGGGTGGAGGTGGGGAGAGTGACTAGCTGGCGTGCATGTGAGCTGATGACATGGTTAGAGTGCCTGGATGCAGCCACACCTCTGACGGCACACGCTCCACCCTGGCATGTCTCAATTTCACACACCCAAAACTTAAACATGCTTGGGTTGAGTTTGTCGAAAAAACCCACAGAAGCCTGACTTGCCAAATCCGTGGCTTTGGGTTCTTGCTTTTCAGGAAAACTGGTGGCTTCCACCGCCCCCATAACAGCCAGTGGGTGACCCAAGCAAGGCGGGGGTGGGGGTGGGGGTGGGGAGGGCTTCCAGCTTCTGCCCCTCCCCCCCGCCCCGGACAGCCCTGTGCACCTAGCTCTGCTTTCCTGGGTGGCTCAGGACCGGCTGTGTCAGGGCCTTGCTATAGGATCAGCTGTGGCTGGGGAGGAAAAAAATGAGCTTTCCCAAAGAAGAGCACCCTGGTCCCTTTTCTTCTCATCACACCGTAAGGTTGCTGGGCCACTTTGCTTTGAGCCTGAGACAAAACATCTGTTTCTGGAGGGATTGGGGCAGACTGGGAAAGGGGAGGGTGGGCGGGAAACCTCAGGGCGCTTCCGCTCCCTGCCCCCACCCCACTGAACGTGGGTGATGCAACTTGGCTCTTAGGGTCTAGCCCCGAGCTTCTTGAAGCTAGTAAAAGCTCCTTGGGATCGGACATAGAGTTTCCACTGCTCCGGCTGGCTCTTATGAAGAGCAGATGGGAGAAAAACCGCAGAGGTAACAAACTCCACTTGTTCCCTGTGTCCTGGTGGAAACTCGGAAACTCGGCTCATGGTGGTGTAGCAGGCTGGCTGCTGAGTCTCCTGACGGGACAAGCTCTATCAGGGATCCCTGCTGCTACCCAGTACATGTTCCAGTTTGGAATCTCCAGGGGAGCAACCCAGACAGCGTGGTGGATCACCTGGACAGCGTGGTGGATCACCTGGACAGAGTGGTGGATCACCTGGACAGCGTGGTGGATCACCTGGACAGCCTGGTGGATCACCCTGGAGTCATGTTCCACTGTCTGTGCTGGCGGCGTTCCTGGAGGAAGTGCCCATGCCCTAGCTCTGCCAACCCCAATCTCCAGGATCAACTTGTCAGGCAGCCTGCTGCCCACACAGCATCTCCATGTGGATGCGCAACGGGCATCACAACCCAGCACATCCAGAACCCGAGGGTGGAAGGTCACCTGTCACACTCACTACTTGGGAGGCAACATGGCAGCTCCTGCTTTGAATCTCAGGTGCTCATGGACCCCACCTGCTCCCTGCACTCCTCTCCAGTCCCACACTTGTCTACACTGCTCCAGTCTTGTGGCCTCTGTCCTCCCTCGACAGGGACCATCCTCTATAGAAGCTGGCATTATCTGGTGAAGTAGGTGGCACAACTGGGTGTTCCTCTACCGGGCCATCCTCACCTTCACTGCTGGTCCCACTCTCGCCCCTGCCATCTCCTGCCACCCGGACACTGGGTTCCTTTAGCCTAGGGCTTCGTCCTCCCTGGCTTGTATGCCCAGTGTTGGGCTTATTTATGTGTTGTATTGACCACCTATCTCCATCTGGGGAATGCCCTGGCAAGTACCACGCTCATGGCTGTGAAGCCTGGACCCAGAAGGGCCTCCCAGCAGCAGCAGGCACTTGAAGAGCAGGAGTGGGAGGTCTAGATAAGTGTCTCACTGTGCTGTGTGACACTGGATGGGCCCATATCCCTCTCTGAGCTTCAATTTTCCAGCTACAGATGAAGGGATCAAAGGCTTCTCAGAGAGCCGTGCCAGTGGCTGTGACACGTGTCACCTGGGAAGCTGGCAGGGACATGCAGGAGCCATCACCTGACTCCAGGGACTGCCTGGTGCTGCCATTCGTCTCACGAGCGTTTACTGAGCACTTACTGCATGCCTGACTTGCTGCACGTACAAGGAGGCACAGAAAGCTTCTAATAGGATGAAAGCCTCTTCAAGGTGTCAGTGTCTTTGATGTGGCCCAGGTAAACATTTACAAGCAGGGGCCACCCCTTTCAGGAAACCTGGGCCCATGACAGAAGCAGGACAGCTGGCATGGACTGGGCACTGGGGCTGTTGTCAGGGGTTCTGTAGATGACCTTGCTATATAGATGACCACCAAGCTCTGGAGGAGAAGAGCCCAATGAGGAGACTGAAGCACAGAAATACAGTGGTGCTAAAGTCAAGCAGGGCAGCAGTCTGATTCCAGAACAAGGGTAGGGAGACACCCCTAGCAGAATGACGAACAAGGCAAAGTTCAGGGCCAGTGCACAGCTGAGGGGTTTGCACGCCGTCCCGGACTGCTGAACCTGCAGTAGGTCTCAGCTCCAACACAAATGACAGAACCAGCTCCCATGGACACCTGCCCCTTGAGCCGAGGAGGGCCTGGCCCCCCAAGAGGCACTGGAAGTGAGAGCAGCAGGTCAGACAGGAATCTGCAGAGCCAGCTTCCATAGACAAAGCCACAAAGTCCGCAGATCAGAAATGAGCATGCTGGTGTGGAAGGACGGTGGGGCCATGCTGGGGGCTGAGACAGAGAGAGGAGGGCCAGGGCAGGGGGCCTAGCGGGAAAGAAGATCAAGGGGACGTAAGGAGGTCTTTCTCTCCTGCAGCAGGGACAATGCTGGGACTGTAGCCAGTGACGGACGTGGGGGATGCCCCCGGGATCCAGTGATTGTTGGGAGGTCCCAGAGGGTGACATGGGGATGCCCAACAAGCTTGGCACCAGGTTCCACTCCAGGGACAAGCCACAGGCTGCTTGCTGCCCCCTGACCTCCTGCCCTGTTGGACCCTGGGGTCACCTCCTCATCCTGAGCCTGGGCTGGGTCAGCAGAGGGATGGTCCATTTCCCCTTCTCCCCATCGCTGCCACACCCAAGTGGCTCTGGGGCTCAGGACTTTTGATGTTTACTTTGTTCTCTCCTTGGTTCAAAAGGAGCTCTCAGCAGCGGCCCCGCATGGAGCCCAGCCTTAATCTCCCATAGCTCCCGCTCCCAGCTGGCCAGTTAAGGCGGTTAAGACGCTGGATTAGGGCCGGCTTTACATAACAGCGCAGGAGCTTCAGCCAGCCTCTCCTGGGATGGCTAAAAGACTTCTTTTTATCTTCACGCTTCACATGGCCTTTTTTCTCTCTCCTAAAGAGCTCTCCAGCCCGCCAAGAGGCAACGAACTTGGCCAACAAGAAGACAAAGGAGAGATTCAGGACTCAGCTTGTCTTTCCTTGGCCAGCAGCACAGAGGGACAGACACCCACAGGCAAAGGTCCAGGGCAGGTGGATGGTCCCCAGGCCACATTCAGCCCACCAGCCTCAGCTTATGTCCCCATCCTGGGAGGTGTTCAGAGACCCACAACTACTACAGACAGAGGACAGGTCCAGGTACCCACCTGGCCCAAGTCTGAGCATCCCCACTCTCTCGACCTGACTTACAATTTGTTCTCACTTTCACATCCTGTTTTCTTTCTCCTTTTTCTAAAAGATTTCATTTACTTGAAAGTCAAAGTGAGAGATGGAGAGACAGAGAGATAGAGGGATTCACTCCCCACCAAATGAACACCAAAGCTGGGCTGGGGTCAGGCTGGAACAAGAGTCATAAATTCCTCCTGGGTCTGCCTCATGGGTGGCATGTATACTTGGGCCATCTAGTGCTGCCTTCCCAGGTTGTATGCAGGAAGCTGGATTGGAAGCAGAGCAGCCAGGATTTGGCCCAGTGCATATGGGATGCTGGAAGACTCAAACAATGATCTAACTCAGTGTGCCACAACATGAGCCCCAAACTCCACTGGTTCCTAGTCTTGCAAGAAACATATGACTATGTGCTCGCTTTGGCAGCACATACACTAAAATTGGAATGATACAGAGAAGATTAGCACAGCCCTTGCACAAGGGTAACATGCACATTTGTGAAGCGTTCCATATTTTTTTTTTTCCAAAAAAGAAATATATGATCACATTTTTCTTACAGGAGTGAAACAAGCAAGTACAGCAGATAGCACAGCCTTTTCTAACGACCCTCTCCAAAGCAGTCCCTTCTCCGTCCAGAGGGAGCGCAGGCCATCCAAGCCTGTGTCCACACAAGGCATTCACAGCAAGACTGTGGATGAGCCAGTGTCTTCTGCTTGTAGGGACACCGTCACACCATGTCCACCCTTCAGGAGCCTGTGGTCACATGTACACGTGACACTTCTATGCATGTTTTGGTCTGTCGGAAAGGAATCTTGATGCTTGGCCAACAACTGAACCCAGCCCATTCTCTAATTGGGAAATTGAGGCAGGTTAGTGGTATCCAATCCTCAGTAGACACCTCCAGTGACTGGTCAGATGCCTGATAAGCAGCTGGGGGGCTGTGGGCTCAGTCCACTGTCACTGTTGCACACTCTGCTTGACAGGAGCAGGGCCCTTCCTACAAGTCACCTGTGCCTCCTTTATCCTTTGCCACCAAGACTTGAAAGTGCCACCTCTGGCAAGGTGTACCCTCTGTACATAAGGTATACACTCCCACATCCCAAGTGCCTACCGAGTTTGACTCTGTGTCACCATCCTTCATGTAACCAGGAGGCAAGGGGGACCCAGAGAGAGACCTGCCCAGGATCATACAGCAAGTCATGGCCAGAGCTGGGAAGAAGCAGGGACTTTGGCTCATTTCCTGCTTGTTTGCAGACAAAAACATCTCAGTGGAAACCAATCACATGATTTTAGGTTGAGCGTCAAGGCACAGAAATGTCTCTGGTTTTCTGGCTTTAAGCAGAGGCCCAATAAACAATGGGCACTGCTAATGAGTGCATGCTGATGGATGGGTGGAATATGGAGGGGGAGGCAGGACTAGAGTGATAAGGCTGGCTGGCAGATGGGTCAGGACCAGAAGAATAGGCAAGTGAACAAATTGACAGTGGTGGAAGGATGGGTGGTGATAGGTATAGCAACAGTTGGATGGATGGATAGATGGATGGATGGATGGATGGATGGATGGATGGGCAGATGGGAGGTGGGAGGGGTGGGTCACAGGTGAGTGGGAGGATGGGTGGATGATGGACAGAGGTGGGTGAGTGACAGGTGGATGGGTGGATGAACAGTGAATGGATGATGGATGCAGCAGAGGCAAGGATGAGTGGATAGAGAATGGACCTGGTAGTAAAGTTACCATACAAACGGACAAAGAAGTAGCGACAAGGATTGGAGGCTGAAGCAGATGTCATGGGTGTGTAGGTCACTTCGCTCCCCAGGCCTGCATATTGCAGACTCCTGGGTACCAAGCCATAGGATCTCTCCCTGGAACCAAGGATGACAGCTACACCTTGGGCAGCTGAGCCCCTATGCACAGGCACCAACGACACACCTGCACACCGCTTTCTGTCCAGGCTGTTCCACCCGCTTGAGTCAAGTTTGACAGCTAGCTGGGTCCCCAGGCTGCTGCCACCTCCAAAACAACTGGAGTCCCTTTCCAAACAGTGCTGTTCCCAGCACCCCAGGTTACCCTGGAGGTGACCTGAAGGGACAGTGGAGTCTGCAGGCCTGGCGTGGAGCTGTGATCTGACACACAGCACAGCTCCCAGGCCGGCTGCAGCCATGGTCTTCAGCTCTGGCCCCAGCACCTCCTGATATCCTCCTGGCCCTGTCTGCTCTCTGCTCAAAGCCCACAGGACATCCCGAGGGCTGGATCCTGTCCAGACTCCCTCGTTTCAACTCTGTTTCTCCCACCATCAGGGACCTTTGCACCCCAGCCTGCCACCCAGCTGCTGCGATGGCTCTCCTAGGATTCTACATCTAGGAACCTTGTCACCAACTTGGAGGGAAAACCGAAAACGCTCTCCTGTCCAGCACACATGTATGCTCTGGCTTCGGGACGCCATTCGCTCCTCGCACCCAGCACAGGGAGCCACAAAGGGGAAAAGCAGTGTGTCTCTCTCTACTCTTCGAATTTTGCTACAAAATGGCACAGCACAATAGCCTAGCGGCAAAGTTTCACCTTGCATACACTGGAATCCCATATGGGCACCGGTTCTAATCCTGACGGCCCTGTTTCCCATCCAGCTCCTGCCTGTGGGCCAGGAGAGTAGTCAAGGACGGCCCAAAGCCTTAGGACCTTGCAGCCACATGGGAGACCTGGAAGAAGCTCCTGGCTTCTGATCGGTTCAGCGCCAGCTGTTTTAACAACTAAGGGAGTAAATCAGTAGATGGAAGATCTTCCTCTCTGTCTCCCCTCCTCTCTGCATATCTGACTTTCCAATAAAAATAAACAATAATAAAAAAATAGCTCCTTCCCTTGAAGGGAGGAAGAGGTGTGCCCAAGATGCTAGAGGCGAGGGGCTGAGTGTGTGCACCCCAGGTGAGTGACATATACGGTGACACAGGGAATTAGGACAGCTACAGTATGCAGGGTTTAGTCTCTGCCTGCTGCTGTGTGGGGATGCTTCCCATGGTCCCAGGGGCTGCTTTCACTGACACCTGTCCCAGGTCACAAAGTGCACAATCCCTGGCTCTTCACCCCAGCCCAGCTCCCCAAGAGCTGCAGCGTCCCTGGAGTAGACAGGGTACACGGTGGACCAACAGACATCCCAACCCCCCTCACTGTCACAGGTAAGAGCCAGGGAGTCCCACGTACCTTCCAGCCGGAAGTCCTCCTCTTCCTCCTCGCTGAGGGTCTCTCTGAAAACCTCACCCACGAGCTCCTGGAGGAAGACAAAGTAGGGAGTTGAAAAGGGTTGGGCTGCAGATGACAGGGGTGGGGAAGACCCCAGTTCTGAGTTGAATTGGGTCAGTGGGGAGGACCTTGTGCTACTTGAGAATTCAACCCCTAGAGGTGCTTTGGGGCTGGGGCATGCTTCTGCTTCAGGAAGTGCATCCCACCCTGGAAGTATAAACACCAGACAAGAAAACCAACTCTTGTCCAGCCCAACAGACAGGAACAGACAGGCGAGCTGCAAGCCTGCCCCACGAGCCTCCAGCAGGGGTCCCAAGGGCTGGCTTGTGGCTATGCTCCACCCTAAGAGCCTTTCCCCTCAATGTGAATGTGCAACACAACAAGTAGGACCCACTCCCCAGCCCCTGCTCATGTCAGCCCCCCATTCTACAGACCAGCTCATCAACACACACTCAACACACCCTTTCAGAAGGCAGCCAGCTCCTTGCACGCACCATGCCTGTTCTGCCCCCGTGAGGACAAGGTGCCTGGCGTCTTGCCCCACCAGGCCCACCTGTGACTCAGGAGATGTCAGGTTAGCGAGGGGAGTTTGGTTGAAATGCAGGCTGGGAAATTCCTGGGATGTGAAGAGAGGCCCCGTCCAATCCCACAGGGGCATGAGGCTAGCCACCAGGAAGATCAGCTTAGGGTTTATCGGACAGTCCTGTGGCCTTATCAGCCTTCTGCCAGGAGCAGTTCTTTGATCAGAGAAGGTGGTTTTCAACAAAGTTAAGCCAGGTCATTGGCCGCAGGACTTATCAGAGCTTTTATGATGCTTATAAACACCATGAATCTCCCAGCACTGACGTACCAGGGTACTTCAAAAAGCTTACTGGGAAATGGAATGAAAAGATAAGTTTATACTGGTGCCAAACCAACTGAAATCCATGCAAAATGTTTCCATCATCCACATTTTCTGCGGCCTTTTTGAAGTACTTTGGTGTACTATGTTCTGCCAATCTACTTAAGCCACAGTTTTGTGGGTTTTCTTTCTTTCTTTCTTTTCTTTTTTTTTTTTTGCCTTTTGAACACATCAGGTGTTCCAAGGAACCCGCTTTGGGAAACACTCCCCTTCTCGGGGGACAAGCAAGGCTTGGGGAGCTGCCTCCGCTTCATTCCAGCTGTACCGATAAGGATGTTCTCTCTCACAGCGTTCCTCAAGCCACACAGAGACACAACACAAAAGCCCCTGAGCAGCGGTTGTCAAACTTCTCTTAGTGGAAAGAAAAAAAAAAAAAACCTCTCTCCTTTGGGGAAAAAAAAAAAAACCCTCAAAACCCACAGCTCTGTGGCTTAACAGCAAAGTTAGCCCTGGTCTAGATGAACTGAAGGAGGCCCCGCCCAGTTGGTCACACAGCTGGGGGCAAGCTGCTGGGGCTTGGGGTTTGACTTAGTGGCAAGAGGGTCTACGAGGGTCGGGCCAGCCTTCTGCCTTCTCTTCCTTCCGCCTCCCTCTGGGACACAGCATCCTCTCTGAGAAAGACTGTTCAAAGGTAGCTGTTCGCCCTCATTGGCAACCCCTTTCCTTCTCAACCAGGCCACTTTATTCCAGGAGTCGGCCGCGCTGTATCTCCTCCTCTGCCAATTACTGTAATCACCCAACATTTCCCAGGCTTGTAAACTGGCTGCTTGTGTTAAACAGAGCCCGAGTTGACAGGGGAGCTGGGAGCCGCTGACAGGAAAGGCACACGCACAGGTGGCATCGTCAGATGGCAGGGACGTCCTGGCAGCCAATTAAAGCTCATCTTTCAAGCGCTTGCAAAAGACGTAGGCCGCCTGCCCCTGTGAGGCTGGGAGGCGGCGGCTCCTGGCAACAGCAGGCGACAATCTTCAAGGGATAACACACACCTCTCCACGCAGAGTGCTTCTGCAGAGGGGGGCCCTGCCCTCAGCCACCATCGGGCTGTGTCAAGCCGCCTGCATCCGTGAGACTTCGCACCCTTTCAGTGCTGCGCAGGGAAGAACTAAGTACACGCAGCACTGTGGACAGGGGCATCCCGTGTGAGATCCCTCCGCCCACAGCTTACAACGCACCATGGCCCACGGGGAGGACCAAGCTATCTGACACACTCACAAAAGCGGACTTCCAGCAAGTTCTGCGTTGGCTTCTTACTGCTACACATCAGCCTGCCCTGTGAACACGACCCGTTTGCCCCTGGTATCACCATGGTGAAATTACCTCATCCACCGAGCCACACAGCCCAGGGGTTGTAACGAGCAGTGTCTGAGGTCCCTAAGCTTTC